CAATGCAAGAGACTCGTCCCCGAGTCATACTGAAGCCATCTCATAATCCTGGGTCCACCCAGGAGGACGTCGCTCTCGTACTGGGCGCTGCAACTTTGACTGATGCACCACTGTAGAGCCATTCTGTAGTCCATCCTGATCCTTCTCTTGTATATCAGTGTAGCGTCTGGACCAATCAGACACACCATTTTTCATTTGATTTGACAAATCACTTATTCATTAGATTAACAAATAATCACAGACCCCTCACCCAATAAACATGCTGGGTGCCAGGATGTCTGCAAACGAACAGGCCTCTGATTCCATGGCAACCAATGCTGATATCACTGGTTTTATTGCCCAAAGCAATGTGGGTAGAGAAACTCACTACATTTTCCATAGGAACGACACAATGCACAGTAAAAATGGACTCTTCTCTAATTAATTCATAGGAAAACTTAACTGTCTATCTAGAGAAGAATTATTAAGTTGTTGGGTGTTTTTAGTAACACAGTGAATAACACGCTATGGAGGGCGGGGCACACACATGGCTGGCCTCAGCATGGGAGCTGAACACGCAGCAGCTGTGACCAGACAGTAGCCGTCTCATTCTCCGCGCATATCTGTTTGAAACTCAGCGAATATTTGACACACACACATGAGAGATATATCTATAGAACGAAGTAAGTCATGCCAAAAACAAATATTATGTGACAAAGTAATCAGTATGAAACCAACGCGGTGTCAAGTCTTGGCCGTCTGCCTTTGATATTACAATAGTCCACGTGAGACGCGCGCATGTAAACGCCTACATCACAGCAAACAAAGCAGCGAGACTTTTCCTCAAGTTCATCTCGGCTACTTCATTTCTGGAAGAAGACGCGCTGAGACGAATAAGACAGAAAGAGCTTTGGATTTTCCTCAGAAGAACGCGCTAGCTTGATTTCCAGTGGAGAATATAATTTACACTAGTAAGTCTTTTTTTATTAGCCTACTTGCATTAGTTGTTATTGTGTTACTGTGACATAACTTGTACATATTTTACTAGTTAGACTTTTTCCAAACCATGATTCCTGACTAAATGTATAATCAAGTGAAACATTATGAAGATTCATTCACTGCATCTATGTCTCTTGTTCCTAATACCAGATTGATTACCCTGTTTTAATAATAGCAGTCAGCTAATTTTAAATCCATTTACATGTTATGCCCCCTTTTGTTCCACTTTGGTTTTATGTTCTCTCTGAACCTCAAAAGGAACCAGAGACACTTTTATTTTTGATTTGTTTATTTTCAACATGTGCTCTAATTTTATGACCCTGTTACACAAGTCATCTAGACAAATACTAGGGCACAACTGTAGTCCTGAGCACCAAGTAATAAGCATAATCTGAATAGGAAGGCTCTCCTTTTCCTTTTCCCTCTTCTACGTCACTTCTTCAGAGATTGAGCCTGTTGTGAACCATCAGTAAGTTATGAGTGATAATTTGACAATAAGAACAGTCTTAAGTCATCAATCAGAACTCTGTTCACACCCTTTTCAGCAAACATATGCTGACCCAAACCTATCTTAGCATTCTGTCATCCAAAGTTAAGATAATAACCTAATACTTCAGCTAACCACACCTGGCAAAACCTAGCTGTAAAACCTAGCTCCACACTCTGTTTGATCTTGTATTAGTCTCTAGCCTTTACTCTCAACACGAGTTTGCCAAAATGTTGCAGATGCTCAGTCTAACTGCCCAGATGGCAGACCAAAAGGACTGGCCAGGCATTGTGAGGAACACCCTTCTACCCAGGGCTGCCGACAACCTACTGCACCAGAGCCGAAAGCAACTGGACAACGAGGGAAGAGTACTACTGACTCATCACTCAAGCAAGAGTTATGACTACAAAGAGCTCACCAAGATCATCATCTTACTGGCCAAAAACCTCATGGGTCTGAAACCCAGGAGGTAAATGATCTCAAGCAACAGATCACGGCGATATCCCAAAAGGACCCCAGCAGAATGGAGTTACAGGAGGAAATAAATAACAAAAGGCTCTGACAGCTGCTGAACAACAGCAAGAGCACCTGGAAAAGGTAGCCAGAAAGGACCTGGAAAGTTGATTAAAAGGTTGATAGCACTAAACATCAGCGAAACTCTAAGAATTCACTTTTTTTATAATAGTGCTCTCATTATAACGTTATGTATATGACAGTAGTTATTAATGTTCTGCATTTTTGTTTTGAGCTGCACGCGCTGAGGATGACCAGAATTAAGTATTTGATAGCAGGTTTTTAATCAATGGGATTTAACTCATCATTTATCTCATATAGAATACGCTTCGTTATTTATACAACATAACGGTAATATTACGACTTTTAGGCTATCTGCACAAAATGCTCCGAATGCACATGAACGTGTTTGCGCGGCTCTGAATGAACTCCTTTTGTGAACGCGTTCTTCACGCAACAACGTGCAGAAACACGGCAACTAAACTCTAAAAATTTGTTTTAAATCAAATTTAAAAAATAACAGCGTTTTATTATAATAGTGTTCTCATTATAATGTTATGTATATGACAGTCCCAGTTATAGTTATTAATATTATGCATTGTTGTTTGTCCTGCTCGCGCTGCGCGCTAAAGAGATAATCACCGTACCATGAAGCGCTTTACTGCAGCGCAACTCAACCAAATGCATCTTATACAAGATAAATAATATATACACGATATATATAAACCGGCTGAAATGTTTTGAAATCACTTGTACCCTACCTGATGAAGAACCAGAAGATCAGAGATCAGGCAGAGCTCTACTGGTGCCCCTTAGGGGATTGATTTATCTATAATTATCTATAATATCTACTTAATGTTCTGATGTAGTTATAATTGGTCATTGTTCTGTTTTATAAATCTATTCAATATATCGTACTGTTCAATAGTTTGGGGTCAGAAAGTTTTTTTTTCTTTAAGAAATTACTTGTATTCAGCAAGGGCGCATTAAATTGATAAAAAGCGACAGTAAAAACTTTTACATTGTTGGACAAAAATCCTATTTTAAACAAAATGCTGCTCTTTTAAAAGCTCTATTCAAAGTAACCTGAAAAAATGTATCACTGTTTCCACAAATGACATTTTCGAGACTGCTGATGAAAAGAATTGTTTCTTGAGCACCAAAACAGAATATTTGAATAATTTCTGTTGGATTGTATGACACAGAAGACTGGAGTAATGGCTGCTGAAAATTCAAATTAAACATAATAGTAAAACTTAAAAAAAAAAGTTTAATATTAAAACAGTTATTTAAAATTGTGATATTTCATACTGTTACTGCTTTACCTGTATTTCTGATCAAATAAATGGAGTTTTGGTGAGCATAAGAGACTTCTTTCAAAAACATTTACAGATCTTACCGATCCTAAACTTTTGAGCAGTGTATTTTCTGCATTTTTTACATGGCCGTGAATAAATCAAAGTATTTTAAATTTATGACTCTTAATTTATTACTTCTACTTTCAACATGTGCAATTATTCTGCATGTGCATTAATAGTAATATTGCAGCATTCTGCAGGTACAAAGTTTTGTTATTTGTTAAGGCCGCAAAGGCCCTACACAGGTTTATGTCCACATATCCCTCCAAAGTGTGGGCATACTGTGAGGTCTACTGGGGCCCTAGGTACACATTTTCAGCTGGGACGCTACTTAGGACAAATAGAGGGCAAATTTTGGCCCACGGTATTCCCATTCTTTCCCCATGGTGTCCACACCCAGCCCACAGTGTACCCACACTTCCCCCATTATGCCCACAGCCAGCCCATACTCTCCCCGCTGTGTCCACACCCAGCCCACAGTGTGGACATACCTGTGGGCATGTTATAGGCCCACAATTGGCCCCATTGGGGGCCCACTCTGCTTTGTGTGGGCCAGCCCACACTCAGCCCACACTTTGGGCTGTCCCACTCGGGCCCCACCCGGGCCCCATAGTGCATTTCACGGTGGTATTGGGGCCCACAGCGGGCTGCCCACGCGGGGAAGATTTTTTTGCCTGCAGTGGGCCCACACGGGCCCCAAAGGGGCATGTTTGCTGGGCTAATGTTCACAAATCTGTTTTTATAACAGTAAAAATTATTTTCATGTAATTTTAATATTAAAATTATCATAAAATTGCCTAATATATTCTCTTTAATTTATATGCATACATATGCCTTATTTTTCAATGAAAAACCACGATTGTCCCGTATTTTCCTTTTGTGAAGTTGGGAACCCTAATAGTAGGCTAACCATGTATTTTTTTAATTGTAGTTAAACCATGGTTAATCTTCGTAAGGGTGATTAAAAATATGGACCCCGCTGGTATTTATACAGGTTTATCCTGATCTTCTTACAGGCACTGTATTAATCGGCACAAAAACCTACCGAATAAACAGTCATTCTTACATGTAAAATTGTAACGTCTGTTTATCTGAGGAATATTAACTTCATCTGCGACAAGGTGCGCGAGCGTCGCTACGGGAAGCAGGACGTGTCGTTTTCAGCTCTCGCCGATCGGTTAAAGCCGATGGAACCCAGAATCGAATCTGAAGCTCCGGACAGAAACGTAAACAAACGTAACGAGGCGCGTAGGCCACGGGAGCTAAGAATCGGCTGATAGTGAGACGCAGAAGCATAATATCTCCATCAGCACGGATAAAACAACGATTAACATAGATATTTCATGGATGACGTAGTGTCACTCTTTACAAGTCCGAAATTATTTAAACCAATCGCGGTCTACCTGTGACTGCATTTTCATTCAAGTTCACTTTTTCATGTCATTGCCTTGACAAACTCATCACGGAGTTTTAGATTTAGCAATGCCATTAAAAACATCGCTCCACCCTTGTGATTTTGGATAATGACCTATGTTTCTTCGACAGGATTTGTTAGTTATTAATGTTGAAGTCATTTCGTGCCTTTCCGAATAAGGTATTGATAGACTGCGACTCTTTTAGATAAAATCAGCCTCACGAATACTCTTCTAGCCTTAAGAATGCAGTTTCCCTTGAATGTTTTAACCGCGATGTGCTCGTGAGAATGAGAGAGGACAGCAGACCTGTACGTGTCTTTCATCATTAATGAGCTTCATTCGCGTTTTCATTAGATGGCAGCAAAGCACCAGAGAAACATCAGAAGCTCTGCAGCATCCGCATCCGAACACAAGCGCGAGCTGCTGCTGTCATTACCGAGCCGAGCCGAGCCATAACACACACACACACACACACACACACACGCGGGGACGGCCAGAGCTGCATTCATCGGAACCAGACGACATGAGCTGCTTTTGGATACACTCGATCCTCATCCCGGGATTCTTCGTACTCTTCGGATTTGAAGGTAAGACATCTGATGGTCTTTATTTCTGCATGCGCTCGTGAGGCGTGTGTTCATGGCGGTATAAACAGAGGACGTGCCATAGATAACTTCAGTCCTCCTCACTGTGATGTTTCAGAGCAGATCGCTCTCGATTCCTGAATGCTGATAGCCTGATGTTCATATCATGTTTCCCCGAACGCGTCTTAGATTATTGGGTTTGTTTCTACTTTCTTCTGTCTCCGGATTGCCCGCCGTGCTGGAGTTTGTTCAGTGAGTGTGATTCAGACGTGAATTAGCTGATTATTTCGTGCATTGATCTGAATGTAGAAGCACGATCAGAAACAGCGCATCTAGTGTCGTGATGATGAAGATGATGATGATGATGAGCGAACGGGATTTTCTCTGATTGTTGTCGGAGGCCAGTGCTTCACAGACTGATGCAGAACTACACCTGCATGTGTCCTTGCAGGACCTTTGAACCTCCAGTACACTGAAGCTTTCAAACAGGTGCTGCTGTCAGTATGTGGTTCAGAGCAGCTTTCATTGGCTCAGCTGGAGGAATGATGTTGAGATGGTGTCTGCACACAAGAGGCCATTGAACTGACACAAGGAAAAGGTGTAGTTTGTAGCTTATGTGTATTATGGAGCCAGAGCAATAACGTCTTTCCATCTAATGTTATTGATGAGGCTGCTTATTTCCATTAGTGCTATTGATTTGCTCTCAGGATAAAGAGGGTGCTCATTAGGATGCACAGTAACTCTGGAACCCACGGACACTCAATTATCTCTCATTTAAATCACAGCAAGGCTTTACAATGCCATTACGAGAATGTTTTTTCCTTCCATGAAGTTACCATTACGGACATGTACACAAGCAGTAAAAGCAGCTGAAACTAACACTAACAATGTTTCTTTGATTATGAAGAATGAAGTGATCACTAGTTAGATGGTGTTGTATGACGTGTGTAGAATGGCGCATGTCACGATTCTCACATTCTGCTTCTGCGTCCGCTCCTGTTGTTGTCTGATAGTATTACGATAGTATCCATGCGATTGCATGTTGATGTAACGAAGGTGCTGGCCTTGTATGTTTCTCAATTTATGAGCTAACTGTAGTGAAATGGGAAGAGTGACAAATTAAACCAGCGCTTTGGCTGTCTCTACCTGTGTGTGAGGATGAGCTGCCAATAGGGGTCTCTGTTGCATCAGGTCAATATGGGGCTTCATCAGAAGTCATTCACTCATTATTTACACAGACTGTAGGCTTCTCCAGGAGATGATCCTTTAGCAGCCACAGGAAAGTACATGTGTTCATGAGTTATGTGGAAGAATATTCTTGCCACTAAGGTATGTGATCTCATTGTGATGCATGATAGAAAATCATGCAGAGGTTCTATACCTAAATGTTAAAGGCAGGGTAAGCGATTTCTGGTAGCCAATGTTGATATTTGAAATCACCAAAACAAACACGCCCCTACCCCAAAAGGGTCTTGCCCCTATTTTGATAGCTCCGCCCCACATATACGTACGCAACCCAGGCAACGATTAGTTCTGTGAAACAAAGCAAAACCAATGTTACACCGTGTCTACATCGGACGTGAGCGGCGCAGCGCAAAAATCCCCGACAGAAAACTGCGAGGCAGTGTACCAGTGTAGGCAGACTTTAGCTGTTGTAGACACGGTGTTACTCACTTATTGAGAAGAAACAAAGCAACCTCGGCGTCCGATCGCAGGCCTTCCGCTCCTTGAGTTCTCTCCAGCTCTGGAAAGCTGATCCGATATTTACACGGGTCCAACTTCTTGCCTTATCGTTCCGCAGATGTTTTCCTCTTTTGTTTTTTTATCCGCCATCTCTATCTTTCTGTCGCTCGGCTCGGCTAATGTCCGTCCCATGCACTGAAAGCTCTCTCCTCCACATCACGAGTAGACACGCCCCTTATTGCTGATTGGCTACAAGTTTGTTTTGCTATTCGGCCCGAATCAGTTTTCTAAAGTGTTTTTGAAAAATTACATACCCTACCTTTAATAATGTATCGCTCAGGTTGTTTAAACAGATACACAAAATGCATTTGTTTAACTGTAATACTTGTACCGTGTGTTGGAGAAGTAGTAGCTCCCTTTAGTTATTTGCTACCCACTGAGTCTGTAGATAAAAGGGACGCCGTGTGAAACATGTACCCATCAAAACCACATTCTGGCTGATTCTACTCTTTCGGTACTCAACAGTACATCACTGCATCGTTGGCAATCCTCAGAAGAAAATGAAAAAAGAAAAGGTTTCATATTGTAATGTTGATGTGACCGTATCTTACTAATCTCCACAATTCTTTGTTTTTGTAGAACACTTATCAGAAATCATAGCAAAGCATTCACAATATTTACGTTAACGTTCACTCACGGACTGATTTGGTCCTGTGACTCCATTTGCATGCTGTTTGGAGCATAGACTATTGCTGTAGTCATTATCCATTCTGGTCAGGCAGCGTTTGTGTTTGATGGGTGCTGAAGAGAACAGGGAAGGAAATGAATTCTGCTCTGGGAGCGACTGATTCCATTTGGCCCTCCGTTTATTGACATCTGCAAGGTGTATACATTTCTGGCTACAAAGAACAATGACTTCAAGATGTAATGGCAGACATGAACAGACAGCAGTGTGGTTTGAAATGAATCTCTGACAGCTGATGATCATTCAGTGATGCTCCTGTGTTCGTCAGTTAACACCAATAAATCATTTTAATTGTAACTATTGTAAACAGGATACTAGAGTTTGGTGTTCAGATGACTTTGGACCAGACTTTGAGACTGGTCTATGAGCGTGTCCATGAATGATTTTAGCTGGGAAAGACACTCTGTAGGTTAGTCTAACTTGAGCAGGAACTTATCTTGTTAACCCTTCCGCCTCGGTCTTGTTAAGGCCGTCTCTGGGGATCGCTGGCCCAGGACAGCAGCAGGTCTCGGCACAGACATGAAGGTCACCGTGTGGTTGGCTGTGAAGAACAGAAAGCTCCTGACATTCAGATATCACACGGCGTCAGAGGAAGAGCAGGCCCAGGGCGGCAGACGCAGTTGTCATGGCAACCTGTTAAAATACACAGCAGTGAGGCTCTCCGTTTATTGACATCTGCAAGGTGCTTCAGCGACCACAGAGGTTAGAAAGCCCACTCAAACCAGGATCGTTAGTCATATACAGAAGGAAGCAATGCTGTGGTCAGTCCCCAGGAATGCTGCTGTTTTACTAGTATTCATTGGTAATGTCCACACTGAACTGTGAGTTTATTTGAGGATAAGAAATTAAGCAGTTGGGTAGAACTCAAACATATTGAGCAGTTTTGGACTGATGGAGTGTTGTTGTGTTTTCTTGGTTCTTTTGAATGATTCTGAGATATCGAAGAAACTACAAAACCAAGCACTAGCCGAACCCTTTCATGCTGTAGTACTCTTCTTCTAAATAGCATGCGGTGATTGAATATTTTTACATTTAGGTAATTGTGATTATTTTTCTGATGAATTGTCTTGTCAGATATAGTTAGTGTTCAATCTAGTATGTTGAATCGGGAGGTGTTCAAACACTGAATGCTGAATCGTGTGCTGTTACGTGCCGCTTCGTTTCTGCTGTGTTTATTTGGAGGCAGGAGCTCAGCTGACAGCACGTACTGATTTCTGTCAGGAAAAGCAGAATTAATTGACGTCGATGTGATGATTTGCAGATGATTGACATGGATTCCTGCTTGCTGTCTGGATTCCTCCAGTGTGTCACAGACTGACATTTATGAATTTTTAGGTTAGCATTAATACTTGCAGTCCATATAATGGTGTTTTGTCTGTAGTATGGAGCGGGGCCTGGTGCGAGGATCCCTCGCTTGCCTCAGGTCTGGTGTGATGTAGACGGGTCTGGTGATGCTCACCTCACGAATCATGTGTTGACAGGCACATTTATCAGCTCTCTGATTAAAACAGATGAATGAGATTAAATCAAAGATTAAATAGATTATGTTAGTTGACAGAAGGAGAGATCACTTGATCTTTTTAACACAAAAGTGATTAGAATAAATGGTAGTTAAATTTCAAACTCTGAATAAATAACGTCCAGTGCTGTCCATGGAGCTTGAGTATGTTTTTTGTGTACACATTTTTCTTT